GCGCGAACTCACCCTCTTTTTGGATTCTGTTCAGCCTGTTGTATTCTATGGGGTGAAGTCGAGGAATGTGCCTCGAGTCATCTCTTCTATGCAAGCTAGGAAGAGCCTTTCCTAGGGTAGCTGTCAAGGCTACCTTGTTTCTTTGGTGTCCGACGTTGTTGATGAGCGAGTACCTGAGAGAGTATCCGTCGTTTGCGAGTACCTCTACGTTTTTCCTGATGATTTGCTTGGAGGATCGCCCGACCGCCAGGATGAGTTTACCATTGACCTAGTTCCAAGAGTCGGCTCCGTTTCTAAGGCCCCTTACCGCATGGCGCCGAAGGAGCTTTAAGAGCTCAAGGCCCAGATCCAGGAGTTGCTCAAGCTCGGTTTTATTCGTCCTAGTGTTTCGCCGTGGGGTGCGCCCGTCCTATTCGTGAAGAAGAAAGACGGATCGATGCGCATGTACATTGACTATCGGGAGTTGAATGCCCTTACAGTCAAGAACAAGTACCCCCTTCCCCGTATTGAGGACCTTTTTGACCAGCTGAGAGGAGTCAGCGTCTTCTCAAAGATTGACTTGCGTTCTGGCTATCATCAGCTGAAGATTCGGGAGTCGGATATTTCTAATACTACTTTCTGTACCCACTATGGCCACTATGAATTTGTGGTGATGCCGTTCGGACTCAGCAATGCCCCAGCCGTTTTCATGTACCTTATGAATAGGGTCTTTCATCCTTTCCTGGACCAGTTCGTCATTGTGTTCATCAACGACATTCTGGTCTATTCCCGAGATATCGACCAGCATAAGGAGCATCTGAGGATTGTGCTGGAGACTCTTCGCTGCGAGAAGTTGTATGCTAAGTTCTCGAAATGCGAATTCTGGCTGAACCGTGTGGCATTCCTTGGCCATATTGTGACAGCTCGAGGCATTGAGGTAGATCCCAGCAAAATTGAGGCAGTGAGCAAGTGGGATACGCCAAGAAGTGTTGCGGATGTTCGTAGTTTCCTGGGGTTGGCAGGATACTACAAGAGGTTTATCAAGGGCTTCTCGAAGATAGCCCAGCCACTGACCAACCTTACGAAGAAGAACGTGAGGTTCGATTGGAGTCCTAAGTGCGAGGAGAGTTTCCAGGAGTTGAAGAGGAGACTCACTACCACGCATGTCCTATCCATACTCGACCCTACTTTGGAGTTCACCATCTATAGTGATGCTTCGAATATGGGTTTGGGATGTGTCCTTATGCAGCAGGGGAAGGTCGTAGCCTATGCTTCGAGGTAGCTGAAGCCTCACGAACAGACTACCCCACTCATGATCTTGAGTTAGCTGCAGTTTTCCACGCCTTGAAGATTTGGCGGCACTACCTCTATGGAGGCAAGTGTGAGATCTTTACCGACCACAAGATCTTAAAGTACATTTTCACTCAGAAGGAGCTGAACATGAGGCAGCGTAGGTGGTTGGAGCTGGTCAAGGACTACGACTGCACTATTAGCTATCACCCTGGGAAAGCTAATGTGGTAGCCGATGCACTTAGTCGGAGGAGTTATGGCCAGTTGTCTTGTCTATTCACCGGGCAGGATGTTCTTCTTCGGGAGTTCGAGCGATTACAGCTAGAGGCAGTAGAGTCGACTTCGACAACCGGGGTGCGTTAACCGCGTTGGTTGTGGGACCGACTCTTCGTGAGAGGATAGTCGTCGAGCGGTCGAATGATCGTTTCCTATGACAGATGAAGGAGTTGTCGGAAGTCGGTAGAGTTGGTGGATTCACAGTCGCATCTGATGGGGCCTTGGTCTTCGAGGGTAGACTTTATGTTCCGAAGGTATGAGAACTGCGAAAGGAGATTCTGAGGGAGGCCCATAGTGCCCCGTACACCATCCATCCTGGTAGCACGAAGATGTATCAGGA